GGCCCTCCTCCTTTCCGCATTTACTCAAAGTTGTATGCTTGTTGCTGATGTCGCTAGGGCACATTTTGTCTCATCCGACCGTATTCCTGCATTGGGAAAATCGTGATCAGACGCTAGTTTTTTCTACTTCTTCTAGACATGAGCTACAGTTTGGAAAGAGGACAGACTAATTGCATATTTCCTCTCTTTTTTAGCAGAAACCGAGGCGAGTTCTGCGAAGCCAAGCCATGGACAGGAGGAGCTGTCAACCAAAGTGAGGCCTTCCGATGCCAGTTTCCAACCGGAGGAGAGGAGCGCCAGAGACTCGATTGGGAGCAGCGAAAATGTTGCGACCAACTCAGCAAAAACCTCCTCCGAGCTCCCCGGTCGACGATGAGGCCCTCGATTATTCCGGAGCAACGGTGATTCTGTTGTGCTTCCTTGGCCGTAATCAAGGCTGAATGAAGTCACTTTGCCCATCGGATTCTCCCCAAGCACAGACACTAACCAACTTTGGACACATTCTTGTCGTCGTATTTCGTCAAACTCATGTGAAGGACCCATTTACAGTTTTAGCCAAGAGACTAAAGTAGGAGCGAAAGTCGACTTTTGACATAATACAATCATGCCAATGTATTGACACGGCTATGCCTCCTCAGCTTTCACCTAGTTTTGATCCCACCAGCACACGTTAAAAGATTTCATATCAAGTCGAATGGGTAATAGAACAAGTCTCTGTTTAATTGTATAATTTTATAAATTTTTGATATTTTAACTCGTTTAAAAAAATATTAACTTATGACGCTACTAGCAATTGAGTAAGTAGACTGAATACTATCTGCTAATTTTAAATAGGAACGTTTATTTACACACAATAATGAAGGACTATTCGTTGAATTTGTCAACATTTAAATAAGTATATCTCATTATGCGAACTAGATAACTAGGGGCAGTCTTGGAATCTATTCATTACGTAAATGTCACTGACAACTTATAGTTAGCATAGCAGTCTACAAAGATTATCCGTAGTTATTCATTATAAGCCAATTCGAATATAATAAAACCTAAGATATCTAAAGATTGCATTCAAAATATACTAATATTTTCGAATACTACTCATAAGGTATTTATCATTTGTGAGTAGGGTGTCAAAACTACCAATAAATTAGATATATAAGATGTATTCATTCTGTTTTTTAAGGTAATGGAGAACTTCTAATTGAATTTTTGTGCAATATGACGTTCCATTGTATTCTGTGATGGGATTGTAGATTACTATATTAATCAACCACCATACTTATTTTTAGTTTGTTAGTACGGATTCACGACTATTAGTAAATCAGATATATGAGATGTGTTTGTCTTATTAAAATGCGAAAAATTTAATGTAATTGACTACTATAATAAGTACAACTTTGCCTCATCAACAATCCTACTCCAGAATGT